AGTCGGATTATTATAGTTCCTACTTGCCGTCCCCTTACAAGGTATAGTTAATTACGAGTGGACATGATTTTCTTATTGTTTTTCTGTAGAAGAATCCCCGGCCCTATATTCCTTGTCATGTCTGACCAGTTAATTGTCCTGGCTTGGCCTCTTGTGGCTTAGATCTTCATAGATAGTTTTTTTTCGGTGCGCAATCTAGATTGCTGTTTTTGATCGTGGAGCTTTTACGAATTCTAAGGTGTGGCCTCGAATAATGAAATATATTTTTACTGTATCCAGATGGTCCAGTAAAAGGGTGCCTACGGAGGCGGGGGCTTCGGCATAAGGGGCGTCCGATAAGCTTCGTCGCATGTACGAGGCGGGTAACTCGTTATCATTTTTTGGAGTCTGTGATTGGAAGTGGTATTATGTTTCTGTAAAGTCCTAGGGTTGAGGTTGTTTCTTTAACTCGACCGATTTCGTGTCTCGGTTAAATAAAATTAAATTTTTTTTTTTTAAAAATAAATTAAATTAAAACTCCTGTACTGTTCTCCTAGGGTGAAAAAATAGATTAGCCCTGAGTTTACATTAGACCTCTAAACTATAAGTATATTTGATAGAAGTTTGTAGGGCGGGGGTGTGGGAAACTCTGAGGGGGGATATCGGGCTTTGGGGAACCGATTTAGATAGAGGGATGGTAAACCATTTTATTGATCCACCTCCTGTGTGGGCCGCTTGCTCGTGGCCGATGTGGTAGCGAAAAGCCAAAAAAATGAATTAAAATTCCAAACCTGTCCTGCTCCTCTGGCACCTCGTCTGCACCATTGAAGGACATCGTTGCTTCAGAACCCTCATTTTCTTCGCAGCTGTTGTTAACTGGCAGGCGCGTCTCCGGGCAGGGCGCGCGCGACGGTCTCCCGCCGCCGCCGCCGCCTCGCCCCACGCCCGGGCAGGTCACGCGCGCGCCACGGCCGCGGCGTCGGGCCTTGCACGCGCGCCTCACGTCACTCAACGAGGACTCGAAACTTTCCTTACCAGTTAAACCGACACCGGCAACAGAAATGGAAAGTGAATGAAATTTTTGATGAAGCAGATTCAGTGTCGCATGTTGTTCATTCATTTCAGAATGTTTAATTCCACTGTAAACGTACTCTCAATGTGGCGATCCAATGTGTAATTTTTTCTACGGCCGTTACCCAACCAGACAGGCCGGTTTTCTTTGCGTCCCGTCGGGACCGCTCGTTGGGGAGCATGAACATGTACACGCCAATCAACTTGCTGGCTTTTCTGATTCTGGGGTCTGCGAAAGAACGTGAGGCCCTGCCGCGACAACACGTTCATGGAGAACAAGAGGAAAACAAACCATGCCAGCGGCTCAACCCGAACCCTTCGGACCGAGCGCTGAGGCCCCACCTCGGCCACCACGTCTGCCAACAAGAATTACTAGCGACAACACTCTAGATTGTTGTTACTTAGAAAAGATACAATGCGCTGAATTTTTAAAGTAAGAGCGCGTGAATGGATCTGCAAGCGTTAAGCTTTATTAGAATTTCAATGAAGATTTAAAACGTTTCAATTCCACGGATATGAGAAAAATGGTATTTAGAATGAATACAAAAAGTTTTTTTTGTGAAAAATATACTTTAACCGTAGTTATTAAATATGATACTTTGATAAGCACACGTTTAAAATGCTGTTTACTATGATCATTATTCATTTCATATACTTTGATTTTAATTTTAGTTCATTCTGACTGAACTTAGCGTCTGATGATAATCAAATTTTTATGCAAAAAGATCTCAAACCTTAAATTAAACTGGAAAAAAATTCATTCCATACAGTACCAGTAAAGTTCTACTTTCTACTCTGCTATTGAAGCTATGCAAACAATGAAGAATGTGACACAAGTGTGAAGCGATAATATTCCTCAAATTATGAAGGATTGTGCCCGAAACTATATTTCAATGTGAAGAGTTCGAAGAGAACAAACGAGTCTAATGACGCAACGAAAGGTCCGCTCAGCACCCTCAGGAGCGCGTGTCGTACCTCGCGTGGGCAAGCGAGAGCGGCGAGGCGCGCGGAGGCTTGCTGACGCGCGGCCGCTTGCCGATCGGCGAAACGGACGCGCGAGGTCCGTGATGCGCGGCGCGGGCGCTGTGGAGCGAGGCGTGCAGGCCAGCGACGGGTACGGCGGTGGAGGCGGCGCGGTGCGCGGGTAGTCGTACTCGCCCAGCGATCCCTCGCCCGCCACGCTCCTCTTGTACTACAGCGGCCGCCGCGCCAGGTCCAGCAGCTCAGCTGCCACACATTCAAGTAATTAATTAATTAATTAATTAATTATTAATTAATTAATTAATTAATTAATTATTAATTCATATTAATTAATTATACATTAATTAATTAATTATTCAAACATTCTTCATTCATTCAAACATCTCATCATTCAACATCATTCATCAAACATTCATTCATGCAAAATTTCATGTCATTCAAACATTCATTCATCAAACATCATTCATTCAAACATTCATTCAAACATTCATTCATTCATTCAACATTCATCATTCATTCAACATTCATCATCATTCATCAAAACATTCATTCATTCATTCATTCAAAAACTTCATTCATTCATCATTCAAAACAATTCATAAACATCATTCTATTTCATCATTCACACATTTCAACATTCGAGAACATTCACATTCATTGCTTCATTCATTCAAACATTTCCAATACATTCATTCATTCATTCAAACATTCAACATTCATTACATCTTCAAACATTCAACATACTTCATTCATTCAAACATACATTTCTTCATTCAACATACATTCATTCCATTGCAAAACATACCATTCATTCATTCAAACATATCATTCATTCATTCAACATACATTCTTCATTCAAACATACATTCATTCATTCAATCATTACATTCATCATTCAAATAACATTCATTTCTTAAACATAACAATTATCATTCAAACATACATTCATCTCATCAAATTATACATTCTATTCATTCAAACATACATTTCATTCATTCAAACTACATTCATCATTCAAACTACATCTTCATTCAAACATAACATTCATTCAAACATTCATTCAAACATTCATTCAAACATTCATTCAAACATTCATTCAAACATTCAAACATTCAAACATTCAAACATTCAAACATTCAAACATTCAAACATTCAAACATTCATACATTCATTCATTCATACATTCATTCATTCATTCATACATTCATTCATTCATACATTCATACATTCAAACATTCATTCATTCAAACATTCATTCATACATTCATTCATACATTCATTCATACATTCATTCATTCATACATTCATTCATTCAAACATTCATTCATTCATTCAAACATTCATTCATTCATTCATTCAAACATTCATTCATTCATTCAAACATTCATTCATTCATTCAAACATTCATTCATTCATTCAAACATTCATTCATTCATGCAAACATTTATTCATTCAACATTCATTCATTCAAACATTCATTCATTCAAACATTCATTCATTCAAACATTCATTCATTTATTCATAGGTGCTGCATACTTGTATACTTGTATCCACTGCTATGGGGCATTAAAAGAGTGTAACAAACATTTTAACCCAGGAGGTGACGTGATCCCTCCACTGGATGGTGAAATCCGGCGTCGAGTTACACAGCGGCTTGCAGGGGTTTCTTCTCCAGGTATCTCCCTCCTCGGAGGCCCCGCCCCAGCCTGGACAGGCTCTAAGCTCCCGAAGAGGAAGGAGAAATCGCACGCGGTCCCTGGCCCTTGTTTTAGGGTGCTGCTCCGGCATTCGCCTGTTGTGATCGGTGAACCCAAGAAAACAACCGGTCTGAGCAGCCGGCCTCGGGAATTGTTCTCCAGCTGAATTCGAACTACCTATAAGGGGTACAAAAATACGCCACCGTCAGGTCTCGAACACTAAGACCTTCTTGTCATAGTCCAGTTGCGAAATAAAATAGAACCAAAAGTGGTGTTTCCAGCGATATGACAGTAAAGACGCCAGCTCTCGAGGATGAGAAACCCACACGCTACCCGCGGCAAGCCAGCCTCCACCCTGTGAGTTGGCGTGTCTGGTAGCGGCCCATTGCTTTTATAACTGAAACGTTTGATAACAAGACCAGTCTGCTCATTCACTTATTTATTAAACATTTTACTTTTACCTACTTACATACGAACGGAAGAAAATTCGATAATGGTTCATTAATGGAATCAAAAGAAGGAAAATTAGGGATTCGATGTTGCCATAGTAGGAATTACTGAAGCCAGGGGAATTGGTACCTTGATTCCCTATTTGTTGGAACGTCTGGTTACTGCAATTTTATAGTTAGATGCTTTTACAAATAAAGGAACATTTCTGACCAAACAGAGCATTATCTTAAATGAACGGCTGCTGAAGTGGAGAGAGCACAAACGTATCCACAGTTTCAAAAGGAAAGATAATAACAGATACAGTAATAAATTGTATTGCACTGTGTGGGATTTTCGAAATGGAGATACATGTGCAACATTAACACTGTTAATTTTTTATTCCAACAGAAAATTACGTACTCTTTATTTAAGAAAGTGTAGTACAATTTGGTTCCCGTCTAGAATTTTGAGTGGGTCTCTTTGCTACCTTCCTGCGTGAAATTTAAATACTTTTCGCCGTACCGGGATATGCATTGAGAGGTAGAGGAGAGAGGTAAGGTTGGCAGCGGAATAAAGTCAGCGCGGTGGCTTCGATATCGAAAGAAAACAAGTGCGACTGGAAAATTGTGTTTCCGCTACGCCTGGCCTACGACCATCGAACTCATCCCTCCGCAACTACTTAACACAGCAAATAACTGCGAAGAGTATTTAAACTTCGGTAACTAAAGAAGCAAATATTTTGAGTTTTCTCAAAAAAATCGTATATACGTCGGACAACACACATCAAACTTTCCCCTAAAACAATGATAGCCGAGACCATTTTTCGTCGAAATAATTATCAACCATATACCCAAGGTACGGTCAACGCCGGGCCCAAGCCCAAGTTACTTCTCTCTATCTTGATTAGCTATGGAGTCTTTAAACGCGCTTCGGATATCTATAAAAAAATTGAAACCATCGCCATACGTAATAGCTTCATGGAATATTTTGGTGTTCTCTTATCGTGTCCTAGCCAGATCTGCCCTTAAGCACTTATTTTCCGACCTGCCGATGTAGATGACAGCCGTGCATTTGGAGCTTCAAGCGAATGTTGAACTAGTTCTTAAGAAAAAGGACGTGACAGTCAGTGTTCCCGCAGACACAAACGCAAGCACAGAAAAAGTTCAAAAAATATACCCTTGCCACTCTTAAGTAGCTGAAAATCCTTCAAGCTTCAAATGCTTCAATTTTATTGCAATTTATTCTGAGCTCCACTGTCCCCTACTTCAGAGATAGCAGGGTGTATTCCAGAATAAGAGATCATTAGCTGATTGTTAGAAAGTGTAGACCGCGCGCAGGCCAGGCCGTACCTCCGCGGCGAGGTCCCGCAGCGGCGCCTGCGCGCGTCGCTCCTTCCACAGCTGGTGCAGGCGGCGCGCCTCCTTGCAGCAGAAGAGGCCCTGCGCAGACGCCCGCGAGGGGCACGCCACGTCAGCCGTGGTGGCGGCGGCGGAAGCGGCGGCGGCGGCCGCCGCCCCGCGCGAGAGCCCCACGGGCGTGCTGGGCGGCGCGGGCGGCGTGGCCGCGTCCTTCGCCCACTTGATGCGCATGCTGGACCGTTGCGGCGTGGCCATCGCCGTCACCGGCGCAGAGTAGGGCTTCTTGGCGGCGGGCGGCCCCAGCGGGTCCGTCCCTTCGCTCCACCCGCCCACGATCTCTAGCGCCGTCGCCCACATGTGGCTGACGGCCGTGGCGACGCGGGCCCGGCGCGGGGCCGGGCGTGGGGCCTGGCGCGGCAAAGGCGGGCGCGGGCCGGCGCGGGCACGGCGCAGCGGGGCCAGGCCCTAAGAACGGAGAATAGGCGAAACGCACTGCAGCCGAGGAGGCGGGCGCCGACACGGCGGCCGGCCCCGGGCGCGCAGCCCGGCACCCCACGCACGCCCGCCGCCATCCCGCGCGCAGCGGCGGGCTGCGGTCGGCGCACCACGGGCACTCCGCCTCCGCCGACCCCGCGCCCACCGCTCTCCCCTTCAGCGGCGGCAGCGGGGGCGGCGGTGCCACCCCCACCTCCCGGTCCCCGCGCGCCGGCATCCCCGCCAACTACTCGCGCGACCACGGCGCTCGGCAGACACCGTCGACAAGCCGGTGCGTTCCACCCTGTCCGGGACTCTATCTGCACCGAGCTTCCCCACACTGGATGGCAGAGTGCCTGGCAATATTTCTACAAATTGGAGGAACAGAGTTTCTTCGTTGCCGGGTTTCCGCAACAATTGTCGTCCGTTATATTGAAACCCACATTTGTTCCCCTGCTGTATCTATAAACAACTGTAACCAACGCAATTCAAATGACGATTCGCATATCTTAAATAAGAGTTGTTCTACCCAGAAATACATTTAAACGACAAACAATTCAGTTTCACTTCCAGTTACGCAAAAAGCAATAACAAACATATTTTAAAATAGGTTTTTTTCTCAAATTTATGGTAGAGCAAAAAAAAGTAGTGGTTAATGCTTACTACAACCCTCGAGCAATCAAAAAGCAACTCCCCTTCTTTCGTCCGTTGCTCTTCAGTATTTTACGCACTGATTACAATGAACGCTTTTCCTTATTCTCACTGCACTATTCTGTTTCGTAAATGTTGGAAAATTTGTAGAAAATGATTCGTTTTCCGGGAGTTTGTAATCAGTTTGATAAAGTTAATTGATGCAAATGAAATCCAAAATTTATACGCAGACCGAGTCAGTTGTCACGCTCTTAAGACGAGTTAATTGTGGAATGGAAACGCAACTACCCACGGGGAAACTCGTTTGGGGGCGGTGGTTTTTCGAAGAGAGGAAAATACTCAATGTACCAATCCGGCTAGTGACGTATACAAAGACGGTTGTCAGACAAATGACCGTCAAAATTAAATTCTGTGTCATTTTCCGTTCTAATTAGACTTCAATTTTCTCAGTCGGGAACCCGACGGTATGAAGTGGATTAAAGAACTACCACAGTTGTTGTGTCTCTCCCTGATGCCGAATAAGAGTGAAGAAATGTTGAAATAGGTAAACCAATGAAACAAATTCTACACCGCATGCACCACTATTTTGTTTCATGACTGCAACGCGTTCGGTTCAGTGAGTAGAGGACAATTACGTCACGTGCATGGAGCGCCAATCTCCTTGCGTTAGCTAACTATTTTGTATCGCCAAGAAGCCCAGGCTTAGCCCCTAGTGGCGGTTCCCCCACGCGGCGAGTAACCGGCCCAACCCTCAAGGTGTTTCTGCACGGTGCCTCTGTACTGTCGGAATCACTTGGGGTGCCAAAAAGCAGAACACCCAACAACGCTGTCATGTTCAGGGTGGACTAGTCAAGTATCCAGAGCCGGGAGTGTTCGTCTAGGGTACTTAAATGACGTGTTCTAATCAAGCGTGTATTGTGCGGGTGACTGGTGTGGCCCGCTGCTAGTCGAGTCAGACCGTCGGAAGCGGAAGCGCTCTGACGCGATCGGCTCTAGAGGAGTGAGAAACCAGTGACACACGAGCCGTTGCAGTGGGCCACTGCAGACAATTTAGATTCAATTCTTGCAATTGCAAATCCTCGCAGAAGGCAAGACGAGGTACCTGCCGTCGCTGCTCGAGGTCGACGGGCGCCTGGCAGAAGCGGCATTCGAGGCAGGCGTGGGCGTGGGCGGTGCCGGGGGAGGAGCCCGGGGGCGGCTCGCGGCGCCGCAGCCCGTAGCGCTCGTCCAGCACGTCGTCGCTCTCCAGCCCCACGGTGGAGTGCGCGCGCGGCGCCCCCCGGAACGCTGCGCCCACGCCCCCCCCCCTCAGCTGCACGCATCGCTACGAAACTAACGCACTTGGTTGCACTGCGTGTTTCCAATCAAATACAGGGGTGACTAACTTGCAAAACCTCAAGAAATACAACTAAATTTTTGAATATGGTTGCGGGCCATATTTACATTACTGGGGTGATCCACACGTGACTTCCTTGTATTGATCACCGCAGTTTTCCCAGCTGCTGTGAAACAGGAGGAGGGGGATGCAACACGCGTGATACCGAGCCGAAGCGTGCATAACGCAGTGAAACGCATTGGGATGATTTTAAATTTTTGAATTTACTTGAAATATTTTAAATTTTTGAATTTACTTGAAATATTTAAAATTTTTGAATTTACTTGAAATATTTAAATTTTTGAATTTACTTGAAATATTTAAATTTTTGAATTTACTTGAAATATTTAAATTTTTTGAATTTACTTGAAATATTTAAATTTTTTGAATTTACTTGAAATATTTTAAATTTTTGAATTTACTTGAAATATTTTAAATTTTTGAATTTACTTGAAATATTTTAAATCTTAACTAATTTTTACATTAAGGGGGTGTTGACCCCAACAGCGCGTGCGCTAGGCGCGCAATGTTCTTGATCGACACGGAGCAATATACTTTCACTTTTGACTAATGACCTTTCGCTGCTCCGCGGGCAGCATGCGGTCTTCTGGCTGCCAGTTGGACAACCCCGATCTAGTGGCCTCTTCCAATATGATCCTTCTTTGCGAAAGATCATACGACCAATACATGAATTAGTATTCCAGAAGGTACAGAATGCTAGGAAAGTCTCTTCGCACCGAGATGGGACAGGGGTTCCTATTAAAAATTGCATTTATGTTCGTAGCAACCAGATCACTGGGACACAAGTGAAGAGGACCACACTTCCAGCATCGGTTATGATTGTGGTAAGTATGCAATTTCCATAACATTACTGAGAATGTGTGCCTTTTCCTTGCGAATCACAGATATAAGGTTAAAATAATCGCACTTAATGAGGCTCGGAAAGTGGGATCTTAACTTGCTAAACGCTTCCTACTCAGCCATCTAGATCGGTCGGGTAAGGGAAGGAAGACGCCATTGTACATCAACGCCTATGCAGCAACACCTTATCTCAGTGATGCTCATGTCAAGGAGAAAACCAGTTTTTCAATTATTTTTGTCGTTGCTTGGATACCGTCGGCATCCAATATTCCTGAATATACATTTTCTTGATTCCTGAAAACAGACTCGACTTTTGTCGAGGAATAAAGTTCGTAATGATCAGGCTAATGAGACAAGGGGTGTTGTATTACAATTTGAGGTAGGTAGTGGATACCACTAATATACCAGAGCTCCATTTGTTGCGAAAATGATTGAACTAACTTCATTGATGTATCAGCTACATGAAGGGACATCAGTGATATGCTACACTCGCATTCGTCAAAAACTGAGATGCGTGGAGTTGCTCTGTGAACGACAATGTGAATTACTAGACGAAGGACCGGTGGGAAGTGGAGGTCGCAGTGGTTTTGCTTACGTTCCCCGCGACTCGCATCAGGCACGTCTCCTTCCATGGCGGCTCGCCGCAGCCCTGATGGCGTCCCCTGAAATCAGTCCCCCACCCCTTCAGCCCCCGTACCCTTCCCTTCCCCTGCCCCTGCCCCCACCCCCACCCGAATGTTCCCCCTCCGGAATGATTCCAAGACCCAGCTTGAAGCGCTCTGGTCCCCTCGGCTCCACGACATGTGATGCCGCTTCGCCGGCGGTAAGTCTACTGACGCTGATGAGAAATTTTGACGCAGGAGTTCAGACGCGAGGCGATCCCGAAAGAGTTGACCCTGAGTTGGGCGTCGCGGAAACTGTCCTGACAGAGGCTTCCGCCGGACATTGTTGGGAAGGGGTCTACTTCCCTCGTTTGATTTTCTACGTGATTCTTCGGTCGCTCTTTTCTCTCCCTGCCATTGCGAACATTCAAATTACGGACGCACAGCTGTGTAAGACACAAACTTTCTCCGCAACATTGCAGTGATTTTCGGTCTAAAATCTTTTCATTCTAGCTGTTCTGTCCTTCATTCCGGATGTTTTGTCTTTAATCGATGCGCTTGTGGCATAAGGGCTGGAGTGACACGCGAGAATGTCCCCGGTGAAAGAGTGACACACCAAATGTCACAATCTGCACTTGCACAACCCGTTCTGATCGCGGCCCTATTCTAAAAATATCCTCTCCTATATTGTTTCATTAGTGAAGATTAATTTTGAGTCTCTCACACGCAATCAATCTTTATAAATTATCACTCTAAAGATAGAGAATTCACGACGACTTGATGAATCACACTTCTTCTTTTAAAAATATATGAAGGATTTTTGTAAAAAACGCATCTAAAAATTCACATCAAATGCATCTCGCAACACTCGGGTAGCGTTGTTGAAAGCTACGTGGTTATATAACTCCAGAAGGTGTTTTATGGCTTTAAAATCTGAAATGTTGAAGCCCAAGGCCTCAAGAAAATTAGGGATTATTAGAGATTATAAGGCTGGGGGCTTCTGTATTCTACCTCACTTGTTCTGAGACGGGCAGAACCTGTACTTGAATGTGAAATTAAACTAACTACTTGGTATTATATGCGATTAATTTTCACAGGTGTACTTTTCTGTTCTGTAA